CTATTAAAAAAAGTGCCATGAAATGGATATAAGTTTTAGAGCCTAAATTTCCCATTTTATTGTGTCCGACGCCATAAGATTTGGAAATCGTTTGTTTACACGCACACCCAAGTTGCAAGAGCTGTTTTGACCTTGATATTGAACACAAGAAACAGCTGATACGCTGTGCAGGCACACCAACACCAGCACATGCACGGCGACCGGCAAGAACATTTATTATTTATATGTAAAGCCCGCCAGCTACTCCGCACACACACACTCTCACTCGAGGACACGTTCGCAAGCAAAACAAAGCCAGCTGTGGCTGCTTGGCTCGCCTTCTTCTGGTTTTTTCTGCACGTGACCAAGACAAGGACGCGCTCCGTTAGAACCTCGCGTATCCTTAAGATACACCAACACTCACACACACACACACAGAGAGACACCCACACGACCGATATTTTTTCTTGGCCAACAATAAATAAACACACACTGGCGAGCGGGGAAGCCGGAAAACGTCTAAAAGCGCGCACACGTACCACCGGAAACGGAAACCGAGACCAAGTCAAGAAAAAAACCCACGGCTGTATGTGTGAGTTTTCCACTCTTTTCTTTTTTTTTTCGCAATATTTTTTTCGTGGCGCTTTCCTTGCGGCTGAGATACTTTTTCTTAACGTTGCCGCGACGCCGAGCAGGAGGCGAAGGAGTTTCGCCGAAGACGTTTCTCGTGGTGTTGTCGTGTTGTTATTTCGCTGGCTGCACTGGTAGTAGTAGTAGTGGTGGCCACATCCGCATCCGCACTTGTATCCGTATCGGTAACGGTATCCGTATCCTTTGTTGATATCGTCGGCGGTACGGACTCAAGGAACATGTTGCGCACGGAGAAAAAACACGGAGCAGACTGAACGGACTTGGCGAGCGTGCCGGAGCCGAGAGCACGATCCGTCACCAATGTAAAAACTCAACTAAAGCGATGATGAAAAAATCTGAAACACACAAGCGCACACATACTGATGCAGAGGCGACGCAGCATCGACAGGCAGACAGACAAAACGCGCACTAACACCACTGCGGCGCTTCAAAACGCAGCGGCAGCGGAGTCTGTTTCTGTGTGTGTGTGTGTGTGGGTGCGAGTGGGTGGTGTGGGTGTAGGCCTGACTCACTAAAGGCCGCCGCCGGCCGACACTCACTCACACACACACACATACACAGCCAGGCGGTAACTTCGAAAAAAGCAGCGGCCGCAGCAGCAGCAGCGCCAACAACTAAGCGAGCGCAAAAAAAGGAATCCAACAACAACAAAAAAAAAAACAGGACACAGCAAAAAAACCAAAAAAATATCCAACGCACACAGAGAAAAAAGTTTTTGGTTGCATAGGCGGCGGACGGCGGCGTCGCAGTCAACGTCTCTGTTGGCGCTATTCAAATGCTGCGGCGCCGGCAGCGCTGCCACCTGCCAGCAACAACAAGAAAAATAACAAAAACAACACGAGCAGCGCCAACATTGACCCAAACTCAAAAGGGGGTGGGTCATACGGAGGGGGTGGGGGCTCTAAAAAACGCGGAAAAAAATTGTGTAAAAAATAAAGGGGAATTTTGCGCCGGCGACAAACCCACGCACACAAGTACATAGCCATGCCAATACACTCACACAGACGCACTGGAATTTTTTTCGCTGTTAGCCTTTGCCGCCCCAAATATCCTGTCTGCCCCACCCCCCTTTACACCCCATCCCCATTACCACTGCCGCCCCCTCCCCCGCTTTTTTTGCATTTTGTTTTGTTCGACTTTGATGCGAACGTCCTTTTTTTATTGCGCACAAGAGAGGGGACGGATAACCAAACGGTAAAGAGAGAGAGAGAGAGAGCGCGCTTTTCAGTTGATTTTGCAGGCTGTGTTTGTGTGCGTTTGAATTCCACTGTTTTGTTTTTATTTGGCACTGGTCAACAATTAACAAAAGTCATTATTGTGGCTTGTTTTTCCCGGCGATATTTCAGCTAAAATGCCCCGAATTGCCAGATTAATCAATAGCGCCGGGAAGTAGGCAACTGTTTTGGTGGCCGCCTCATTTCTGTGGTTGCGCTTTCTAGCACTCAATCAGCCTGACAGGGGGAGCGCTGGAAAATCCCAAAAAAATGTGGCAAAAAGGGGGTGGCTGGCCCCAAGAGGGAGGTGGAGTGGGGCAGGCCAGGACACCTCAGGCAGCAGGAACAGCAGCACGAAAAGCAGCAGAAGAGGCAGCAGCCTCCGCCCTGACCTAAGCCACCGCGCTGGCTTAACTGCCAACAGCAACCACCTCACATTCAACCACCCACTGGAGCACCCCACCACCCACTTCCTCCCCACCCATTTTCCACCCAACCCCTCGGCCCTCTGCCGCCGTCGACGTTTGTCTGCTGCCGTCGTTGCTGATATTTCTAAGTTCTTTTTTTCGCATTGCAACCTTGCCTCGACTTCTTCGCCCAACAACGCCTCCCCCTCTCCCGCCTCTTTTCCCCACCCCTCTTCCCGTCCACTCGCTCGCAGTTTGCACATTTTTTCCCAGCATTTTTTCCATTTCCATTCGCTGTGCATTTTTTCTCTCGGCCGCCCCTCCTTTTTCCAATTTTTTTTCTTGCCACAGGAAATAAATTTTTTCCTTTCTGTCGCCTTGTCTCGCTTGCACCTTGTGCATTTTGACCCCCGTTCGCAAAACACAATCATTTTTTTTTTTTTGCAACCATTTCCCCAACGCTTTGGTGATTTTGCCTTTGCCGTTGCATTTGCTTTTGTGTTTTCGCTTTTAGATTTTGTTTTTTAGGTGTTTTTTTTTGCATCCTGGCCCAAGGAGCGACAGGGAGAGGAGGCCTAAAAAAATAGCAGAGTTGCCATTGAAAAATACAATTTATTATAAATTGTTGTTTTAGTGTCCAACTAGAATTGGGTTAGACAAAGCGCCGATTGAGCCGGAATCCTTTAACAGGTTGTTTTTGCGGCTTTTAGTTGAGTTCACAATAAGTCACTTAGGTAATCTATCTAAATTGTTTATTAGAGAAACGATAATTATGTTAAAGTATATATATTTGGCTAATTAGTTCACGTTATAATAACTAATTTTGATTAACATTTATAACATAATTCGTGGATTAAAAAAATCATTCTATCCTGAACAATTCGGAGACCTGTGTAATTATTAGAGAAATTAAACAATTAGCTTCTTACCCCGAAAGCCTTTTTGATCAAGTCAATTCTTTATTGATCATAACACATATTTAACCAACTTAATGTTGTGGATTGTTTCAACGGAGCGTTCTAATAAAAACAAAGTAATTTGTGAATAAAGTGAACAAAGTAATTTGTGAACATATCAATTAGATATACAAATTTATCTCAACTATTTCTTGATAGATCAAATCTGAGATTAGATTTTATTTCTAAAAAAATGTTTTTTTTCTTCATTAGTTTTCAAGTTGCTTTTGTTTTGTAATAATTTACTCTCCGCCTGACACAAAATATTTCTGTATATTTTCGTTACATCTGGTAAAAACATTTTGATCAACTTTTGTGTGTGAAAAATTAATTATCACCACGTGGCAACACTGTCAACGTGCTTTGATGCCATTTTTTCCGACTCGTTTTTGCCCGGTACAGTTCAACTCTGCTCTTTTTTTGCATGTTTTGTTGGATGTCCAAACATTTTTTATGGAGTTTGGTTGTGTTTTTGTTTTTTAAATACGCAACGCAACGGACAGTCCACACACACACGTAGTTTAACACACACACAGACATACACGGGCGTAACAAAAAAGTACAAAAAAGCATTTTGGGAAAAGGAGGTGAGCATGGGGATTGTATGGGCTTATTGCGATGCGTGACTCGTATTTGTGGACTTTGAATACAAACAAAACAGTCGGACACAGATAGAAACCCACACAAGTGCAATTATGAATACTACACACACACACACACGAACGCCCACACTAACACACATAATCACAGAGAGAGACACTCTCACTCACATCAATGTGTGCATTTCAATACGAATTAATAACTACGAATTCAATGTGGCAACCATCCTCAGGACCTCAAACCAAAGCTTACTCACACACACACACACACACTTTCCAAATGCACACAGACATATACCGGCGTCACTGCAGCTGACGCCTAAAAAACGACTACAAAAAACAGAAAAATCAAATTCCCCGCCCTGTTCGTTAATTTTGCTGCCGCTGCTCTTCAATTCAGAACCGAAATTGAAAAGCGACACGATTATTTTCCGTTTTCACAGAATGCCTACTTTAAAAGCCTAGGGAAGTCAATCCAAAGAATGGTTAACTGATTTCCCCGTTTCACCAGCACAACTATCAACTTTCCATCTACTTTAAAAAGAAAAACCAAAGCCCTCTAAATTCTAATTTTTTTCTGTTTTTTTTTAGCACCACGTAGGTTCAGCATTTTCACTTTTTGATGTGCCCGCTTCACATGAACTGCATCTTTTTTTCGAACTACATTTTTGCTGGTTGCATTCTATGTCTCGTGGCCGCAAAACGTTTTTCCATGAATTTTTCATCCATTTAGCGTGGCCATCGAGCTATTTCATGGCGCTTAGAATTCATTGATACTTTAGCAAATTGTTTTTTCGGTTTGATTTTGTAGAATCTTTTTTGGGGGAATTTTCCGGGTTTTATCGTGACATTGAATATCAAATTCTTTAGTGCGAGGGCTTTTAGTGGCCTTTGCTTGTTTATGAAGAGTTTGTTTACGGCATTTTAAAGGTATGCAGTTGAAATAAGATATTGTTGTTTGAAATACGACTCATCTTGCAAAAAGCTCTATTAATATAAAATAACTAAAAAGGGCAGTTATGTTCAATAAATGTAAATATTTTCAACAAATGTGGAAATTTTAAAGTTGTAAATTAAATATACAAAATTATTTGTGCCACAAAAATGTATCACTATCAGTAGGCATTGTCAACGAACTTTTGTGCTGCCAAAGCAAATTACAATCGTCAGATTTCAACCGATTCCAAACAAACCGGAAGTCTAAATAAACAATTCGGAAAAATATTCGGAGAAACGAGCCGATAAGTTCTGTGCAGCTGATTCAATCCGAAGTGGCGACTCTTCGGAAATTGCCAACTGACCAGAACAGCTGAATCAATTGCTTGGTTGCGATTAGAGGGTCTGGAAGTGCGAAGCCTTCAAACCGTTTTCATTTGCTCATCGATCGCTGAATAATGCAGAACAGACGGAGGCTCCTGCGGGAGTACAGATCCTACGATGATCTCAGCGAGCACTTCCGCATGTTCGGATCGCAGTCCCTGGACTCTCTGCAGGATCGCGTGGACATGAATCCCAGTGGCAGCGATGGACTGTCCACTGACGGACTCGACTACTACTCCAGCTGCTCGCAATCACATTCCGGGCTGCTCAGGGAGCACAACTTTAAGGTTAAGTCCTACTACTACAACGTGGGTAACTGCGTGCATTGCAGGAAGAGGTGAGTTTTGTATAATACATTATCTACCAATCAACAATCCAAAGCGAGCCGTTGATTAAGAAATGTCCTCCAATGCAGAGATTACATATTAAATAACGTTTGAAATCATAGCTCTGATTGTATCAAACAAGTTCAAAATTGTTACTTTCCATATAATAGAAATAATTGTGACCGTACAAAATTACTATTGTACCTTGCTGCCGATAAGTTTCTACTCATATTCTAGTCATTTAAATTGTCATATGTTTTTATTCGTAAAAGAAGGCAACCTGCAGTTCTAGATAAATGAGGTACATATTTTGAAATCGAGAGGGCTTTAATTTTTTGGAATCGATTTTCATTAAGAGGAATAATCCAAACAATTTTAAGTTTTTTAAGATGGATACTTTTTTCGTTTCATATAGTTGCGTAAAGTTTGCCTTTTATAACAACCCAAAAAAAAACAGCATTTTGATGTAACCAACACTTAAAAACCCTGCCTATTGTCCCCTTTTGATTTTATTAAATTCAATTTGTTGAGCTCCACCAACCAGAATGGCTTAATCCCATCTTCACGTGTCCTTGATCCCCTTTCAGGATCCGGTTCGCCACGGCCAGCCTGCGGTGTCGGGCGTGTCCCCTGCGCTGCCACATCGGATGCTCTCGCCAGCTGACGGTGAACTGCATCCCCCAGCCCCAAATGACGGCGAAGCGCGGCAATCTCAGCGATTACGCGCCCCGGGTGGCGCCCATGGTGCCGGCCTTGATTGTCCATTGTGTGACGGAGATCGAGGCGCGGGGCCTGCAGCAGGAGGGGCTCTACCGGGTGTCCTCGACCCGCGAGAAGTGCAAGCGGCTGCGGCGGAAGCTCCTGCGTGGCAAGTCCACTCCTCACTTGGGCAACAAGGACACCCACACACTCTGCTGCTGCGTGAAGGAGTTCCTGCGGGAGTTGATCCACCCACTGATTCCCATTTACCTTCGGAGGGACTTCGAGGAGGCCACGCGACTGGAGGATCCCTTGGCAGCCGAAATGGCGGTGTACCTTGCCGTATTGGAGCTTCAGCAGCCTCACAGGGACACACTCGCATACCTGATGCTCCACTGGCAGAGAGTGGCCGAAAGTCCTGCCGTCCGCATGACAATTAACAACCTGGCCGTGATCTTTGCCCCAACGCTCTTCGGGGATCTGGACTTGACCCTCGCGAACGTGGTTATCTGGCAGCAGGTGCTGAAGGTTTTGCTCCTGATGCCCCCTGGATTTTGGGGTCAGTTTCTGGAAGTTCACCCCGTTCCCACTCCGTTGGGCAGCACTGATGATATTGATGAGCGGTACAATCATCGGCACTGGGAAAACTCATCGAATCTGGGCTGGTCTTCCGTTAAAACCTATTTTAGATCTATGGTAAGATCACATCTTAAAATAAGTTAAATAATTGAAATCTTTTCCTTTACTGATACTACATTATTGGTATATTGGTCAAACCTCTAATACTCAAGGATGCCTTAAGGCATTTAATGCAACAACTTTTTAGATGACTGTTTAACTTAATGCCTTTTGTTTTAGATAAACCTCAGCAGTACCAATCTATAGAGTGAAACAGATGACTGATTGTTGAATTAAGTAAGAGCGTTTATTTTGTTCAGAGGGAGGGGACACTTGGTGGTGCCCTACTTAAGGAGTGACTCACAGCCCTTTTTATTTTTTAAACCTTTGTATTGATAAGTTTTAAAAAATTAATAAAAAAAAATCTCTGAAGTCGTTTTGCAGTTTATTTAGAGCAAAAGGGAAGCTTACTTTTGTTTCATGGCATTGTTTTTTTTAAACTTACAAATGTAGAAAGTTAATCCGTTGGAGAAGCTATCAATTCCTTATGAGGTTTTTGAATATGCTGTGTGCTCGAATTACGTGAAATTTTTCATTTAATATTTCGTAGTCATTAATTATTGTTGTTCTCGACTAACTACCAAAAACTTAACCATATCAATGGCCAAAAAAAAGCTTGTGAGCTTCCACACGGATTTCGGCTAATATGATAAAAACACAAGCTAAAATCTTATTCACACCACATAAATAATAAAGTATGGCCCGAAGCGACGTAATCGTATAACTATATTTTTCGAATATTGAAACATTAATAAACATTTTTAATTGAATTTCAAATTTTTTTCGCCGAGCGTTGATTAATTCCCAACCGTGGAAAAACATGTAAAAAATTAATAATTTCCATTTGCCATATTTATGTTTCTTTGAAGCGTAAACCAAAGCACAAAGTAAAATATTTTGCCGCGTCCACATATAAATAAGTTAAAGCGCCAAGAAAAAAGTTAGCATTTTAAAAACAATTTGGTGAGTGCTGGGCGAAAAAAAGTGCGGCTATTAAATGCGAAAAACAAGCAAAGCAAAACAAAACTCTCGAATCGCATGCACTGGACGAGTGCATAAATAGACCCACACCAAGCCAAATCGGCCGATCTGGATCCCAAGCCAATACATGGCCGGAATAATGTATAATACAATCAAAAATAAACACAAAGCGAGACGGCAACTGTGTGCGAGGAGAGCGGCGACTCGTTTGCGACGCGCTTCTGTTGCTAACCGCTAAAAATGGCAAATGGGCTGGCAATTGTTGCAGTGGTCGCCCGTTAACGTTAACCAAATGCTAATGCCAAAGGCCACAAAACGCACACTCTTTTGCATACACACACACGCATGCACTCTTAGGGGCATTTCGCACCAATACCGTGACAGAAAAGTGCATCGCGAGGAAGGGGAGGCGAAAAAATGGAAAAATAAATAGGCAAAACAAAAATAAAAATAAAAATAGTTTACATAATTCATGTATTATATCGGATCAAATTTTAATGCCCGCCGCTGCATGTGTGCGTGTGCGAAAAAAACATTGCCTACTTGGGGGCGCGAGTTAAAATTGTTTAACAAATGGCATGACTGCAATGTATGTGAGTGTGCGTGGCGCGTTTGTGTGCGCCTGCATAATTCGCATGCAGTTTTTGCTTTTTTAAGACTTTTTAGCCTATTTTTATTGTTAATTAAATGAGGGGAATAACAGACACAGTCCACTGATGTTGAGCATGTAAGTGTGCGTTTCGCTTCGCTGTGTGTGCTCTTTGTGTGTGTGTGTGTGTGAGTGTTTGTTTTGATGTGCGCAACAAATTTTTGCAATTTTTCTATTTTTGTCGGCAGTTTTTTACCCGTTCGGGCATTTTCCGCTCGTTGTTCGCATGTAATTCACTAATTGATAGTGTGAGCGTGCCCCAAACCGCCACGCCCACCGCTGACCACTTGTGTAATTGTGTTAGTGCTTGCCCACACATGAGCTCACACAAAGTTGAAAGCGCGGCAAGGAAGAATGAAAAAAGTAAATGCAAATGTCAAATAAAACTAAAAAAATTCTGTTAAAAATAGTAGGAGCATATTATGCGTGTGAGGAGGTGGCAAAAAAAAAAAAAAAAAACTGTAAAGAATGTCTCACCAATACAAGCGCAGCATGGTGCTAATAATAACATAGGGTAAAAATCGCAGCTCACTTTTGTGCTTATTTCAGATATTTCTGCACTTTTTTTGCCCCTTTGCTAGGCGTGTTCTATAATTTTATGTAAGCTTTGTGTCGGTCGCCCCAAACAAGTGGGCGCGGCATGCGGTCCATAAAAAGTTCCCTTTTTTGTTTGCCGATTTTAATGTTTTTGTGGATAAGACAAATATTTTATTTGAAGAGAAAAACTACAAAAAGTACATGTCCGCGATTAATTTTGTTTTTAAAGGATTTCAATTACAATAAGGACTTTCCTTGCGAAAACAAATATTTGCATTGAGACTGGAATGCTATTGGTGGAGTGTTTTAAAAGCTTAAAAATATGCAGAGAATGCGAGGGTAAATTTGTATGTACTGAATTTAAGTTGCTTAAAATATTTGAATTCACCTTTATTGTTTAAGCATTTATTCCATTTTAATCTGTTCTATCAGAATGTCTGTACTCAATCATCGTTCTTGCTTACTTATTTTCAAAATAATTTTAAAATAATGTGTGTTTTCCCCCTCTGCAAAAAAAGGAACACCGAATGAAGCTCCTGACATGCGCCCCAAAATGGTGAACATAATTTTTGGTCAGCTGAAAAAAAAAAAAACGGTAGGAAATAGCAGTGCCGTGCCACCACCCCCACACCTACCAAAAAGGATGCAAAGAAAGTGGCAGAGCACAGCACACTAACATGATAGGCTGGCCGGAACATCCACACTCACACACACACACACACACACGGGGAAAATGTGGCCAGTTCCAGCTGAAAAGGTACAAAAAAAGAAAGGAAAGGGGAATGGGGTGCTGTTGCACGACTTTTTTCGTACGTACATACGAAAGTGCCAAGTGTAGTAATTCCAATTGAAGCTGGGCTGGGCAACAACAAGCAGACTGCCAAAGTCCAGCTGCAGGAGCAGGATCGCCGAAAAAAAATGGAAAGTGTGGGTAATTAAAAAAGTAGCAGCAGCCGCTTTTGAGCGTAGAAACGCACTAATTTTCAGTAGTGCAGCTTCCACTCACACACACTAACACATACACACACGAGAACAGGGAGTACATGCATTTGCCAAAAAGAAATACAAAATTGACACACTCACACAAGGAAAAGTACACACACATACGCACATAGGGAGGCAACAGAAAATGGAGAGTGTAGCATACTTTTAGGCATGCTGCTATTTCACTTTGTCCCGCACAAATGAACACCTCCGCCCATGTTGGCCCTCTCCGCCCCCTCTAACCAGCCCCTCATCACCCCCTTACCACCTTCTTTCTGTGTGTGTGTGTGTGTGTGTGCGTGCCTGCACCGCTCATCAGCGCTGCAAATGTTGTTAGCCCCGCACCGCAATTTGTGGGCATTGTGGGTGTGGCATATCAGCCGGACACATCATTCGTCCAAAATGTTCGCTGTCAATACGGCTGTTCTTCCAGAACACAAAAAACACACAATTGTTTACTTAACATAGATGTTGCTTAACGGGAAAACTGTTATCGTTGCTTAATTGAAAAAACAAGTGGTGGATGTGGAAGCTTAAACTATAACTTAACTACTATTTCTCCCTATTCTAGTGTTAAAATTGGTTTATATCTCTAGTTAAGTAGCTTACAAATTGGTACACAGAGAATTACAAAAGATAATCACACTTTTGAAATCACATAAGCCACAAGGCACCTCAGTTTAAGGTTCTCATTCTAAGGATCACTCGTCATCTTATTGGCCCACCAATACGGGATCTCACGCATATCGGTGACCCACAAGGATTCTCGGACAACAGATCTGGCCAGACAGCTGGCACCTGCCGCTTCTGGCCACAAATAACCGTTAAAAAACAATAAGCTCAATTAGCAGCAATCAACGCAGGCCGTGGACGCTGCATAATTGACATTTTACGAGCAACTGCAGCTGTTGGTTCAGGGCTTTTTTGGATGGCTTCCAGCCACGGCTTGAGTGTCATGGCAAGTGCGTGGGGAGCCGCCAATAAATGTGAGAAAACGAGGCAATACGATACGAGCAGGGGTTAATTACACCGGGGAAAATGTGGTCAATTCACAAATGGAACGGAATAAAAATGTATTAAACACTTCTTAATAACAATATATTTAACCAGAGAACCACAAGTCAATTTAAAACCTTTTTAAGTGCCATTAAAATATCGAAATTTGTATCTTATACTTCTATTGGGAAATCTTAATTTGTATCCCAACATCTCTGCATAATAAATTACTGATTTTTGAATCAATCAAATTACATAATCAATCAAATTACTTTTTTTAGTATGTATCGCAAGAACTCCAAATAAGAATATTCTGTTTTTCCTTAAACTTTACATAATCAGTTAAATTACTTTTCTAAGTATTTATTCCAACATCTCTAGATAAGAACCCAATGTTTTTTGCTCAGTGCAAGTGAAATCCGAAGCTTTTGTCGCACTTAATCAACTGGAAAATTGTAAACAAAAGCCGATGCCTTGCCGGGTCCTCTCAGGGCTTCGAATCCGATTGGACTCGATCCCCGTTTGGTCACCCAATCTTTCGGTCAACTGGTTAATGCCGCGCCGTGGGCATCGGCATAATTTAACAGGGGGCCACCCTTTGCCTTGAGTTCCACTGCCTTTGGCAGCAGCCAGATGGGTATGAAAATCGGATGAAACAGTCGCGGATGCACTCACCTGGGGGCACATTTTGCATTGATACTTGCGTCCGCTCCCTCCGCCCGCGGCATGTCCTCCGGTCACCGAGGCGACTCCGCCGGGTCCGCCCATTTTGGTGGCATTGATCGGCTGGGGCACCACCAGCAAGGCGGCCGCCGAGGCAGCTGCCACCGCCTGGTTGTGATGGTGGGCCGCCGCGGCAACGTGATGCGAGCTGGCGCCGAGGGTGGAGTTGCCACCCACCGAGGCACCGCCGACTCCCCCGCCGCCGACTCCGTTGGATGCACCCAGACCCAGACCACCTGCAACGGGAAGGGGAAAAGGGTCAACTTAAGGATGCAAGTAAGCAAAAGGACGAAAATTAATGTACGTAAATCCAATTCTAACATTTTGCCCCACATACTTTATAATATTTTTAATAAAAATGTTTCTAATCTCACAATTCATAAGAAATAAATTAAAATACATATAATGTAATACAAATTTGTAATTGTAGAAATGGTAGCTTGGTAAATCAATGTTAATGTACTGTGATCGTTTTATTAGTTGTATTTCGCTCTAAATTATTTCTAAATTATTAAATAAAAAATAAATTTAAGTGGGTAAATCAATCAATTTTGTTTGATAATTTTCAACTTCCTAATGTTGAACTTGGAATCTGAACAAGTAAACAAGTTAATATACAAAAAATCGTAACTCCAATTCTATAATTGAAATCAACACGACCTTAACATTTAATATGTGTTTTTTATTTCTTAACAAATACGAAGCACTGAAGTATGAAACATAGGAAATTAAAATATTGTTTCTCATAAGTTTAGTTTAAGCGAAAATTAATATGGGTTTTTTTTACGATATTTTTATTTGTTAACAAATTTCAAGTTTTTTTATAGGAAATATCAAAAATAATAAGTCTCAGAATTGACACATTAAAGTACTAATTCTCATAAGTCTAGTTCTATGTATTTTGAATATATTAAAATAAAAATATTACGTTACGCATTCCACAGGCGAACTTATTTTTATCTGTTAATAAATTTTAAGCACCTTTAAAAGGAAATATCATAAATAACAAATGTCAGAGTGTCCTCTGAGGACAATATTTTCCCCGGTGTTTGTGAGTCATCTCACCCCACAACTCACCTTGTCCCGCAACCGCATGATGATCCAGACGATTGTCATCCAGAAAGTGACCTGCAAAGGCAATTGAGTTGTTGCATTTAGTTGTTTAGCTGTGTGTCAGCGGTGTGGCGCCACGGCTTAGTGAAGCATTAGTGCTGCCCCACGGTTGTCCATCATGTTCTGGTTCAGTCGCTCAGTCGTTCGGAGTTCGTTGAAGTTGCCGCCGCTGACGTTCACTCACGTTGGCCATGTCGCCACCTGACCAACTCCTGGCTAACTGGCAACCTGGCAAACTGGCCAACTGCCTGCCTGCCTGGTTGGCTGCTCTTTTTCTAATTAAACTGAGACATTAGTTGGCCGCGCTGATTGCCGCTGGGAAATCGCCCGAGGAGTTATGCGAAAATAGTTTCGCATTTGCCCGGGCTTTAGAATTTTTTCCACTGGCCCATTTGCGTGCAAAAATTGTGTGAATCCGTTAATGAGTTTGAGTGCGCCCATGAAGGGTTGGCTGCCCAGGATTCGGGCTAATCATCAAGTTATGAACAATAAGCACAATAAGCGCTGCTCCAAACTCCCAGTAAGCCGGCAAAGCCAAACCGAACCGAACAGAAGCGAACCGCTCGGCTTTCTGGTTTCTGGGCGCCCCGCAGCTATGTCAAAAACATTTCTCTAATAAAGCATTTGCAGATAATTGCTGGGCCCCGTTCTCCGCAATTTCTGTGTTAATTACCAGAGAGCTGGCCAGTGGCGCCAGCCGGAAAGTTCAGCTAATGAACAGTGGCAACTGCGAGTGGATGCTTTTCAGCGGCATTTCAAATGGAGGACCGGCAATATGAGTCGGGGACACCAGTAAAAGTTGCCTTATTGTTAATTTGTACAAGGAGGGTATCCGATCCGAGTACATCTACATCGGAGCTAACAATGTGGACGATCGCTATCGCAACAAAGGCAACAGTAGCAGCAGTAGCAGAAGCAACAACAACAACAACAACCTTATTGGCCAATTGCCTAGCGTTGACATTATCGGCCGGCGATCATTGCCGCCAACGTCAACGCCAACAAGCTCTGGGGGTCCAGAGTGGGTAAGACCCAGTAAGACTGAGCCGACTGGAGGCTGCTACTCCAACTGCTTTGAACGGCTTTAAACAGGAGCGTGTTGCTGTCAATGTAGTTGGTTGTTGGTAGTTGGTAGCTGCTACTTGGTAGCAACAATGCTGCTACCAGCGAGGCCCAGCTAAAATGTTGTTTGCATTTTAGGAATTTATGTAAACATCTTGTAGGCATCCAGAGACTGTTGTTGTTGCTGCTGCTGCTGTTGCGCTGTTAAAGGTCAATTTTCGGCTTATTTCGCTGCACTGAGAAATAATAATTGGGAAATAATAATAATTGGGAAATAAGATCTATGCTAAACTGTTTTGTCAGTTGTATTGCATATCGGAAATGGTGGCAAACAAATTCTTAGCAGTATCTTTTAGGTTTAAAAGATTGCCTACACACTTTAAACTAATTAAATATTCTAAAATGACTATGACAGTTCTCTAGAATCACCCCCTGTAAATGCAAAATGTTTTAATATAAAACTATTCCATTGAAAAATAAGTATCAAAAACCAAACTACTTGATTGATTCGTATTTCAAATATAAACCATTCAAAATGGAATAATTTGGTTTTCCTCTTTCATTTTTTTCATCAGGATTTACTTCCCAAATATTTTATTTGTGAATATGTAAATCATCCTGTTGGTAGTAAAATTACTTTCCGTGTGCTTTTCCGTGGGAGTATGAGAACGGAGCACATTGTCTTGGCGGCTTTTGTTCGGCGGCCCGCACGCGTTTTCCAATTTAGCTTTTGCATTCTTGGCCGAGTGAGTTTAGATCGGTATCTGGGAGATCTGCGGTTCGCGCGCCGCGATCTGAATCTTGGAAGTTCGTGATTATCGGTCGGGTTGTTTTTGTGAGCAATTAATTAACAAGAGCATTGTTGTCAGTCAGGTTGTGGTTGTGGGTAGGTCAAGTGATCCGGCTGCTTTTAGTATGTTGGGATAGGTTCGCGGAGTCGGCTGACTCACCTTTCTGCAGATTGTTGTGGTGGTGATCGTTCATTTTGGCCTGAAAGGGAAAGGAAAACACGGGTTGGCATTAACTCAATTGGCAACTAATCGAGAACAGAAGTTGGCGGTGGGGGGTGGGAAAGTCAAAAGCAATTCAGTTAATTCGATTTGCAATGGCCGCCTCTAATCTGGTCAATCCCTGATAATTGCTTGTTGTCTAATGTCAATTCATAATTATTCCACACGCATTTAATTAACCTCATCAAACTAACATTATTATCAAATATTCATTGGGAAATGTGCAACTGCGACCCCGCATCAAACGGCCATAAAACAATTTGCGAGCGCTGTCAAAATATTTAAACAAATTTTCTAATGACTCTCAGCCCGGAAAATCGCATTTGTATGTCTGGTGCAAAAACCGAATGCAATTTACACAGTGCAAATCACAAATAACAAATGTTTTCGCCAGCTGTCAGGGCGAGTCAAAGCTAGAACAAGCGATAAATGAATTGAAAGGCAAATCGCACGCGTGACAAAACCAACAGTCCAGACACATCAAGTCGACTGACGGCAAATACAAATACAAATATAAATAAAAATTCTAACCGGCGGCGAGCGAGAGTGATAGTTGAAAAAAATAAGCAAAATAGGAAAAATAGAGAAGGGATAGTCTAAAAACGCCACCGCTTTCGATTGCATGTAAATCCCGAATGTGGGTTAAAATCCTCCAGACAGACATGACCTAGGACGACACCGACGTCATCGATGCGATGCGATGCGATGCCAACAAAATGAAAATCGAATAAAATAAAGCTCACTCGCCGCTGGCTGTGTCAAAAAATAAATGCCAGCCGGCTTTTTTTCTAAACAATTTCCATATGCTTAGGACGAACGGACGGAGGGACGGACGGGCGGGAAAGCCCCAAAATGCAACAAGAAAATATAAATACAAATATTGCTGCCGCGAAACAAAACAAAAGCAAAATCTAGTCTGGTTTTGGCCAGACACAGTGCGGGCTATAAAAGTAAATAAGCGTGATGGGTGGTTAGATGGGTGGATAGGTGGTAAGGTGGGTGGATAGATGGGTGGTTAGACGGGTGGATGGATGGGTGGTTACGTGGTTAGATGGTTGGTGTGTGGAGCAAAACAAATCCAAAGCGATGGCGGCACGCGAGCTTAGAATTTGTTTTTGTTTCGCCTCCTGCCACTTTGCGAGCCATAAAGTTATGCCAGTTTGTTTTAGCATCGTTCGGATACGGATCTATAGATAAACACGCTGTGGCAAGCACTTGGCATTTAGCGGCACTTACCTCGTACTCCTGCTTCAGGGACATCGGATGATGCTCGCTGGCATGCTGATGACTGCGCGGCGTTGGCGGCCAAAGATTGTAATCGCTTATGTCTTTGGCGTGCTGCAATTGTTGGTTTTCGGGATTGTGGGTTTAGGGCCGGTGTTTGTCGGTCAATTAGCCGGGAAACAGCATATGAAATAGAAAATGTAGATCGAATTTATGTTAGGTGTGTGTAAGATTCTGGGATACCCAAATGGTTTTAATATTTGTGGTTAATGCGTTAAATGAATGGTGAAATTATGCTGATGAATACTTTGAAAATGTTAATGCTGTGGGTTCCAATTTTATTTAATTCTCTGAATATTTGTTATCTCTAAAAAGGAAAAGAATTCTTATTTGAAAAATCTGGAGTATCATCTTTGGGGAAAACGAAGAAATGTGACATGCGCTTGTTATAGTGCTCAGTTTTGAAGGATTTCAATATATTTTTATTTTTTAGTAATATTGCTGTTTTTATATTAAAAAAACTAGTAATTATTTTGTCGAAATAATTAAATTAACAAATTGCACTTTATACTCAGATCTTGTATATTAAAAATTATACAAACTTGTGATTAGTCAACTAACAACCAATATCTAAACAACCCAATCTCCACACAAGCTAATTGTATTCGAGAAGCTGGTTTTTGAGTGTGTATTTACTAAACACACATATTGAATTAATTTTTACAAATAGTAAACTAAGTTAACAAGACTAAGCTCAATCTTTAAATTTTATTTTTATATTTGATAAGTTTGCTTAATTTAACTAGGATTTCGATAAAGGATCCATTATAATAAAAAGGCATATGTAAATCTCCTACAGTTAAGTGTTGATGTCTGAAAATAAAAACCACTCAATTTTTTCAGAACCTTTTGAAAGATTGTTGCTACAATCATGCATTCCATTTGCTGTCGATTGTAACAAGATCTTCACTTTTGCTGAATTGAGCGAAACAAAAAGCTTAAAAAAGGGCCTGCATGAATTCGAAACCGCCAAGAAAAGTCACATAAAAAAGAGGCGGCTAACGGCCAGCGAAGGGCTCGAAATACTAATACAAATAAATGCGAGTGTCAATTGAAATAGAAAACCGCGCTGCACACAATCGAGGTGTCAAAGCGACGGCGATGGCAATGGCGATGGCGATGGCGATGTCGATGGCGAGGCGCTGCTGAACGCCGTCGAGAGCGACAAAAGTGCGGCGGCTTTCGGTGTTGGGCCAACGCAAAAACGCAAAAACGCAAAAAATCGGAGCAAAACAAAGCAGGACAAAACGCAACTAAAAAAGTGTTGCATAGCGCAAGGGGAGTTGGCCACTGTGTGATAGGCCCACATATGCGAGTGTATAAGTGTGCTGATGTGTGCGTGTGGATGCGTTTGCGTTTGTGTGGGTGTGAGTGTGAATCGCCGAGCGTTAGCCTTGTTGTTTTAGTTGCTTTCGGGCAAGTGGAAGTGGAAGTGGAACTGGACTTCTCTCTTTCTCTTTCTCTCCCCCTCTCTCTTGCTCACTCCTGCAGGCAGGACTAGTTAGTAGGTGGGCTAAAAAGTAAAACAGGAGCGGGAAAAACGCGCAGAGACAGACACACGCACACACGCAGCTGCTGATGAAGATGACCAGCAGCATGGACATGGCTGTGGACATGGACGGAAGTCCTCTCTAACCAACAGCCCAGCACCAAATACAAGTCCAGCAACAACGACACAAACAACAACAAAAGCTACAACAATAAAAGCAGCAACAACAACAACATGGAAGGCCGAACAGGAAGGCGTCGCTTGGCCCACTCCCATTTTTCCATTTCCGCCAAGTTCGGTTTGCAGCACGCAGCAAAAATGGACAGGAATAAAAAAAGGAAGACATTTTGCGAAACGCAAAAAAATGGCACAGCGCAGCAGCAGCTTTCTCTTTCTCCCACTCGCTGTCTCGCTCGGCAGCTCCAAAATAAAAAAGTAAAATAACAAAAAGGAAGAAGACTTTCTAGAGGAAAAAAATCAAAACAAATTTTTTAACCCCTTCGCCGGGCAGCTGGCAGCGACGTCGACGTCGAAAGCGATGAGAATGAGGGGGTGGGGGTGCGGCGGGTGGTGGTGTTGGTGGGGCAGATTGGGTGGCTTAGCCGCCTCTATGCAGCGTTAAAAAGTGCAAAAAATTAGGCGGAAAACGTTAAAGCATTTTTTCCCTTTGCAATTGCACGTCCTGACCATCCGACAGGACTCGCCAGGACCCCAATTCTCAGCCCCCCAAAGCGTGTTTTGCACAATGTAGCAACCTTTGCCGGGGGTTTTGGTCTGGTCTGCGCTCCCAACTCATCCCCGCAAGAAGGGACACTCCAGTTTACTCCATTCGTGCCCCTTCGCCTTGGTTTAGCTGCTCCTGCTTCTGCTCCTCTTGGTTTTTTCTTGCTCCTGCATTTCATTTTTATTTTACTTCTTTCGGCTTCTCGTCTTTTTGGTCATGTTGCCACTGTCTGCTCCTATTGATTTTTTTTCGCATTTAGTCAAAAAGAAAAAAAACTAATTTTTTGTTTTTTTGGTGTCCAAATGTTTGACCATCCGCACTTCTGTCTCATATTCTGCGATTCTCTTTCAAGGGGTTAAGTCAGCTTTGCAGTAAGGCAAGGAAAGACATTAAAAACTATTTAATTTGGCATAAGACTGATTTCAAAAAAAGTCTTATAATAATTGAAATATTTTGCAATATTTGATAGGTTTTCATATTTAAGAATTTCCTAATTTCCCATTTTAAAGAAATTTAAGCTTTGCATGTCAAATGGATAAGTAGTTCTATTGTTGAAAAACTTTATGAACTATTTATAATGTGTTGCATTTAAGCATATCCTAATATTTAAAAAAATGTGAATATTAACATTAGTTTTGCAAGGGAATTAAAACCTTCGCATATCGAAAGGTTAAGTACCCTTCACCTTCTGCTTCGTTTTTTTTTTTGTCGCCAAAGTGCAGCGCCAGGAACTGAGGTTAGAATAGGTTGTTTCTGGGGCCTTGTTGATTTTGTTGCTACACAAAAATTGTGTCCAACTTTGTTGCAATTACTTTAAAAAATTGAAGTTGCTTGCGGTTTTGGCGGTTCTCCTTTCCGCCCTTTACTTTTTTCGCTTTTGGCCAACTCCGTTCCCATTTCGACGTGCCGTGACTGGCCCCATTAGTCAGTTTTAGCCTCGGAAACAGAATCTGACTCGATTCCAATTGAAGTTGTGGCGGAAGAGAAGGAGTCTGGCTGGCTTGTTTCGTTTCGTTTCGCTTCGCATTTCAATTTTCACTTTTTCGTTGACGGTTTTTTCCTCTAATTGAAGCGTAAGTATTAATTGCAAAGCTTTGTTTTCGAACGTGCCGCGGTCAGCGGTTTCCTTTATGCGGCAGACAAGCTGCAAACATTTTTAAATATATATAATTCAGTGCCATTCCGTTCCGACTAACTAATCTACTTCAGTTCCGTGCTCTGGTGAAAATTAAGTGCAAAATTAATTAATGAGCTTCTTTACCAACTTTGCACTGCTTGTCTCGGCCAACTAATTTCGCTAATGCAAGTGACAAGAGCAGCAAAAAATCGGATGATTGTTGCCGCGGCGCGTTGGCAAAGGGCAGCTGGATAGCGAAAAGGAGCGGCCATTGTTCAACTTTAAAAATTAATTAACTACGAATATCCTTTAAGAATCATGCGGGTGTAGCGAACTTTTAAATGGGTTTCGCCAGGACTCGCTAACGAGTCCATTCACTGGATATCCTGGCCGGAGTGGGGTGGAACACCAAGGTGAACCTTTCTGCCCGGACACGTCGTCGTCCTTGGAGACAATCACTCTCCATTCAAAACAATAATTTCGCTGCTCCTTAAAAAAACTGTTGGGAAACTCGCTCAAGCTCAATGGAAAGCAAAAGGAGCAGAAAAGGAAAAAACAAAGAACGACCGAGCAAAAAGGGGAGGGTGAAAAACAAGACCAACAAAACAATGTTTAGCGCGTCGCGCAAAGAAAAACTTGTTTACATCTTGAAAAACGCACAAAAAATGCAAAGAAAAAATTGTACGATTTTTTACACGCCGTGGCACGCGAGCAGAGAGCAAAGCGTTTTTCTGGAAATTCGCAGAAGGAGTAGCGCGGCCAAAAGCAAAAAACAAAAAAGGTAGAAAAAAGGAAGGAAGGGGAAGCTCAAAAGGATTTTTTTCAGCGTCGCGTCTGCCGGGAAAAATGGAAAGGGTTTAAGGTTTAGGAACAGACGGCGAGGGGTTTGAGTTGGCCCCAAAGTTCTGCCCAGTGAAAGTGCAGGACGAAAGGGGTTGGGGGTTGGCCCTCAGTGTAAAAAAAACTCCTGGCCAAAAGAATGGTCGCAGATGAGCTGCTGGAATTGAAAGGGGTTGCTGGCAAGTTACTGGAAGTGAAGTCTTGACCTGCAGCAGTACTCAAGGGTTAAGGTCGTTGTCTTTGGTCAAGTCTTTTAGAGTTTTACTAACAAATAGGCAACTATTCAGCACTTACAATTTGCAAACAGAGCACAAGACAGCTGAGATAGTGGAAGTGCCAAGTCTTAAAATATATAAATTAGACTGCAATCCAATTAGGGCTTCCGTTTAATTTTAACAGACAGCTATCACTCATTTAATTCACTTACTGCGCAACTTTGCTTGCATATTAATTATGGCGTAGTCTCTTTTCTCTGGAAATACTATCATCTAACATCTATAGCACTCGACTCGCAGCGTCAAGTAGGAAAGTTTTCCTTGCTCGAGTTTTCCCCTTTCCCCGCCTGCGTCTTAGTTGCTTTATCTCAAAAAAGTTTGACTATGAAGAGAAAAACTGCAGGACAAAGTTTATCGACAAGTCACAAGTTAATGCACTGCAACAAATCGATTTTTACTAAAGTGAGTTTAGCTGACATAAATAAAATCGTATGTTATTAGCACATTTCGTGAAAAAGGAGTTTGTATCCATTGCCCAAAAATCTGTGAAATCCTCATCTTATTGATTGTATCTGAAATGCATTTTTATTATGAAATGATCATAAAACGGAAAACTTTTCCCAAAACGATTTTCCCTATGGTAACTATTTTACAATAAAAATTAACATTCTTTTGAGATATATGTAAAATAATGAATTTTTTTTTAAGTGTGGCTTAAATGAACAAGCAACGCGGCTTCCGAGAACAGAGCGCTCCCCCTGAACCGAAGTCCCCGTACTCACATCAACGTTGCCGTTCCACATGTAGTGCATGCCCACGGCGCCGGGATCGTGGTGCGTCTGGCCGGTCATGTGCTCGGCCATCACGGCGCTCATCCAGTGGACCAGGCCCTGGGTGGGATTCTGGCCCTGGACGCCCCCGATCGGCATGTTGGCAGCGGCGGCGGCAGCGGCAGCGGCAGCCACGGCAGCGGCCGTTGAATTGGAGCTCGAACTGGGGACTTGCGTCGGATGGGGATCGAGATTGGGGTTGGAGTTGGAGTTGGGGTTCTGGTTGGGATTGGGATTGGAACTGGGGTTATGGTTCTGGCTGGAGGTGTTCTCCTGACTTTTGCACGTGGCGGCGCTGACCGCGTCCGGTTCTGATGGTGGTGACTTTACGGAGCTGCCAAAGTTTGGACGCGTCTGTGATGCGGGTTGGGCTTGATTCAAATTAATTGCGGACACTGGAGTCGCTTGGGTGACGCTCGCCTCGTTGGGCGGAGTGGGCGGCGTTGTTGGGTGGCTGTTGTTATTGCCGACAACCTCGTGGTTGTTGCCGGTCGACCAGGAGTAGCCGTTGTTGCTGTGCGGCTTCTGCAATGAAAAATGGTTTGTGGCCGCTGTGAAAAGGGGGTTTCGTCAAACATTTAAAAATTCGGTTGCTTAATGTATTGAGCATGAAAAAAAAGAAATGGCATTTTAATGGAAGTCATACCAGCCAGCAGAGGTCTTTATATATTCCCGCTAATTTATGCTGTATGATGATTTGCATGGGTTTCTATACTAAATATTTTATATGCTCCTGTAGGATTTTATATATTCTGTTCTTTTAGGTTTCCCAGATATAAAGAGGCCAATAGAATAGAACTTAATGAATAACCAAGTGTAAAAATAGAGTGCAAGACAGTTACAGTTTAACTTTTAATTAACTACTCTATTTAAATTTAGGAGTAACAATTAGGCAGTCAAGCAAATACTTATCAAAACTTTCTTTGAGTCCTTAATTACTATTTAAGGGACCCTTGTTCCGTGTTAATGTAAACGACACTGATAGAAACATTTCGTTTCAAGTGACAATTACCCTTTAATTGTAGGGCAAATAGTCCCATTTAAGGGTTGCTTCACATATAGTACTTAACGAACTTAACTTGCTCGAGCAGTGAGAGTAGACACGGGAAAGCCTTGTTTTATTTGGACTTATCTGCATCCCAAAATAATCAAAACGAAACCCCTTGGAATCCCATTTATGATCCCTCATTTACTTCTCCATGTTTTCCCATACTAACATTCTCTTCCGGGGTTTTTTCGACGAAGGGCTTCTGCTCCTCATGTGCGGCGTTTTCCTGGCTCTCCTGATCCGGCTCTTCCAGCTCCGTCTTCACTTGACCGTTTTCCGGAACACAAGTGACCGCTGCAGCTGCCGTGGAAAACAACAAATTGCTGGTGGGATGGGAGCGACCTGAAGAGGGGGAAAGACTGGGCGCTGGACTTGGAGAGGGGGTTCCGGCGTAGAATTTGTGATGCTGCTGCTGCTGTTGGTGTTGTTGTTGTTGTTGGAGAACGGCGCTGGCAAAGAGGCTTTTGTAGAACTCGGCGGGCATTAGGAAGGGCGAGGGGGCGGAAGCGGAGGGGGTGGGCGGACCCAGGGTGCCCATGTAGCTCCCACGCTTCAGCTGATCCTTCAGCATGTCCATGTCCGGATGGCTGTATTTGCCAATGAGTTCGTGCATGACAACCAACTCAGCGAAGTGCCCAAATGTAGGCAAGGTTTTTTTTTGTTTTTTTTTTATTCCTGCTCGACAATTTCACTTTCGAACGGGGAAAGCCCCCGCTTACAGCAATTTATCTAACTGAAGCACAGTTTGTTTGATTTTTCACATACATATACACATACACATGCACAGATTGCAAAAACGAAAAACGGAAACCGAACGAAAAGTTTGCAACCAAATTTGATGTCTTTTTATTTGGGCTTAACTTTTATTTTATTTTAGATGGCGTGGGCGGAGTGCACTTCAAAAACTTTTTCCGCTTTTTATATTTTCTGTTTTTTTTGGATGCACACCAAATTGAAACAAATAGAAATGATTTGCCACCAGAAACTTGCCAGCGACGACCTTGAAAAACTTTTCCTGGATGGCAGCATTTATTTTTTATGAGTTTTATGGTTATCCTCCTGATGGACATGTGTAGAAATCCCTTTCCCCTCGAATATGTTGACCATTTTTTTTGGCTTCATGTTTTGTTTATTGTTTAGTAAACACTTTGTCGGTGCTCGTCGCTCTTTGTCTCTCCGTTTTGATTTATTTGCCTGGCTGGCCGGCTTTGTTTACTTTTCATCTATGATTGTTTCATTTTGTGGCTGGCGGTTGGGTTTATTTTTCATTGGTTGCGATTTCCACTTGGTGTTAGGTTACTCGCCAAATTCCGTTTGCTTATTTGGTTTTTCCGGTATATTTGATTTGTGTTTTACGGTATTTTCGGCATTTATTTTATGATTATTCAAAATAAATAATATCTTTAGGCAAATATTTATATATTTGCTTGATTTACTTAGAATATTATTTAATTGGTTAAAGTAAAATTTATATTACTAATATCGACTAAGTTTTGCACTGGGTGATAGGAACTTTAGGTTGCAGCAATGTTTGAGTTACTTTTAGTTTACATGGTTTTATCTTATGTTTGCACTTTTGTAGAGGAACTTTGTTTGGGGCATCCTTGATTTAACCTGAACTTTTCATGGTTAATCTCTTGTTGAATCTTGTTTGTTTTGCACTTTTCATGAGGAACTTTGTTTGGTGTTCCACTTCTCGTGGTGTTGGCACTGTCAGTCAAGGCGAAGCTTTCCTTTGAGCCGCATTGCGTATACGCCTTGTTGGACCGTGTTTATATCGCGTATACGCCACTTAAAGTCGCGGCTGAGCACTTTCCGCACCTTCATTTCGGGCTGATAAGAAACTGAGTGTGTGAGTGTGTGTTCGCTAGTTGTTCTCCAGGGTGCGTTTGTGTGGGTTCCGGCTGTCCGGGCGTCTTATGTGTGTGTCCGTGGGTCTACGTCCGTCTACGTCTCCGTCCGTCAGCGAGCGTGGGATAACCTGCAACAACTGAGAAGCCCAACTGGAAGCCAAAGTGCAGCAGCTCAAGGCACAAGAAAATGGCGAGCGCGCGCGAATGTTTTATACATACAAGCCCCAATACACATACACACACACACACACAGATGCAAAAGGAAAGCGGTGTATGTGTGCGTTAACTGAGACTCTTGTGTGTTGTGAATGTTTTGTTGCTCCTCGCAACCTTCCTCCGCTGCAGTTTTTGTTATTCCTGCCCTTTTTTATTTTATAATTCCCCCTTTGCTCCTTTTCTATATGCACACTGCCCGTTATAAAGACATACATTTGCAGTTTCAGCGCGCACTGCAGCATTTTCTTGTAAGAAAAGCGAGGAATGGGAAAAAAATAGAAAATAAAGCTGAATTTGCGCGATATGCGGAGGGTTGGATTTGTGGAAGGGCGGAAGAGCGGAAAAGCGGGGCTGTGGTGCAGATTGATTTTCTTTTATACGGTTTGCTCATGTTTGTGATTTTTATTATTTTGATTTTTCCTCGCAGTCTCCAAGCGACGTTTTTGTGTGAGTGCAGCACATGCTTAGAGGTCCTGTGTGCCTGTTTTTCTTCAAAATGCTGTGCTTGCCGTAGGCGTAGACAAGAAAAACAGCAATTTTTTACGTTTGGCGAGAGTTGAAAGCTAGCCAAGCCAAATCAGAATGAAAAACATTTTGAGGGCTACGAGAAGGGTCGGTAAAAGTGAAACTTACTATTTTCTTAATATCCGGGAGGAAACTAAAGTCTAAGAGTTTCAAGCATTCAAGAGAAACATTTACTCTCACCTTAAAATAGTGAAATAAATAAAAAAAGCAATACGGCAAGATAAGGGTAAGATGTTAAATTAAAACTTGAAACAAGGAAAAATCGGGTATATTTTCATTCTGAAAAAATTCTAATATTATACATATATTATGTATAGTTCAATACGTAAAAAATCCTACAACTTAAATTTTTAAAAAAGTTATTCAATTGGATGTTAAAACCTTCAAGTAAGGGACCTTTTTGTATTTTTAAATTTGCATGTACGCCCCTTGATTGAATAGGGTCTGTTGTATGTTAAAAACACCCCGCTTTTTATACCCTTGCAGAGCAGAGGGTATTATAATTTCAGTCAGAAGTTTGCAACGCAGTGAAGGAGACACCTCAGACCCCATAAAGTATATATATTCTTGATCAGCATCACCATCTGAATCGAAATATGTATGTACGTCTGTCCGTCTGTCCGTCTGTCCGTCTGTCCGTCTGTCTGTCTGTCTGTCTGTCCGTCTGTCCGTCTGTCCGTCTGTCCTCCTGTCGGTTTCTATGTAAACTAGTCTCTCAGTTTTGAAGCTATCTTGCTGAAACTTTCTCAAAAGTTGTGTAGTTATTGCACGCAGTATATAAGTCGGAACGAGCCGGATCGGCCGACTATATCGGATAGCTCCAATACAAGAGAATGAAATAAAAAATTCTCACTCTGTTGTTTTTGATCAGATCGACTTGAATTCTTCAAGATGGCGTTTTCTAACTGTTATTGAATTTCGGATAAAATTTGAACAAAATCGGATAACTCTATCATATAGCTGCCATAGGAGAGATCGAAAAATATATATAGAATTAATGGAAATAAATTGATAACATCGTTGTTTTTTATCCCACGAGCATGATTTTTTTAATATCAAGTTTTTTAACAACCCTTATATTGAGAAAAAAGTTTCATAAAAATCGGACAACTATATCTTATAGCTGCCATAGGAAAGATCGAAAAATATATATTGAATTAATGGGAATTAATTGATAACTTCGTTGTTTTTTATCCCACGCCCATGATTTTTATTTGAGTATAAAGTTTTTAAGAAGCATTGAATTTAAAAAAAATTTCTTTAAATTCGGACAACGATATTATATAGCTGCCTTGGGACCGATCGAAAAATCTATACAAAACAAAACTATTACATCTCTGTTTTTATACCCTTGCAGAGCAGAGGGTATTATAATTTCAGTCAGAAGTTTGCAACGCAGTGAAGGAGACACCTCAGACCCCATAAAGTATATATATTCTTGATCAGCATCACCATCTGAATCGAAATATGTATGTACGTCTGTCCGTCTGTCCGTCTGTCCGTCTGTCCGTCTGTCTGTCTGTCTGTCTGTCCGTCTGTCCGTCTGTCCGTCTGTCCTCCTGTCGGTTTCTATGTAAACTAGTCTCTCAGTTTTGAAGCTATCTTGCTGAAACTTTCTCAAAAGTTGTGTAGTTATTGCACGCAGTATATAAGTCGGAACGAGCCGGATCGGCCGACTATATCGGATAGCTCCAATACAAGAGAATGAAATAAAAAATTCTCACTCTGTTGTTTTTGATCAGATCGACTTGAATTCTTCAAGATGGCGTTTTCTAACTGTTATTGAATTTCGGATAAAATTTGAACAAAATCGGATAACTCTATCATATAGCTGCCATAGGAGAGATCGAAAAATATATATAGAATTAATGGAAATAAATTGA